GCATGAACAGGAATATCTCATGACTGTTAAAAATCGCTTGGCCACGTCTCAGAAGTGCTCTGCCTACATAGTTAAAAAAAAATTAAACAAAGCATGTAGCAGCTTGTTTTGTTAATTGATTTTCTAGAAACACATAAACACCAGCTACATGCTGAGGAACCAGTATGCTGATATAAACCCTGAAGTGTATTTGACAAGCTAAACTCATGCTTTTAAAATGAGGAAAAAGAAAGTGAGAAATGCTGACTTCATAACATCACAGACTCATCACGGTTTCCAGCGTATCTGCTGGTATCATGCAATAGGAGACAGGGACGGTAACGACAGAGGAAATTTACAATGAAACAGGCCAGATCTGGTGACTAAACAGAAAACTAATGACTAAAGCATTATGATTGCTCCTTATACTGGGAACATGAGCTTCAGTCCTCCCGGGAGTGAACCAGCCTGTCTGCTCTAATGCATCACACCAAATCTATTTTCAATGAGAAATAGCCACAGAGACTCTAGGATGAAGAATTTTGCCAAGGCTAAACAGCAGATTTCACATTGTTTTGGTCATGTGACATTATCTTCCCTTTACTAAGCATCCAATTGTGACTAGTTTCACCTTGACAAACAGCTCTTCTCTAATAAACATCTTTGAAGGAGCACTTGAGAAGACTGTCAGAGAAGAATAAGGTATATTTGATGGTGTCTGTTTTGTCATTTGATATCCCATTGCATGTGTTTGGCCATGTGACAGACTCCGGCCTTTGTTTGTAATACAATTCTACAAAGACTAGAGTGAACATTCTCCTGTACAGTAAACACTCACTGCAGCCACTGACCTCTGCTTATGCGCTGCTTCTCGCCAGACAAGATCCCTGGCGTGTCAATGATGCTAATGCTCTGCAGAACTTGGTTGGGCATTTGTGAGCAGATGAACCTGGTGAGACAGATGGAGAGAGTTCATCACCTCATGTTATCACTGGAAATGCTGGTAGTATCACTACATTTGGCGGTTGACTCATTTGATCATGGGAAAATATAACAGCTGAGAAACATTTTCTCTTTAAATTCTTTCAAAGAATAAAGCTTGACACAAATAATAAACTATAGGAGAATAAAATACCAAAGAAGTGAAAGCCACTTTATAAAAACAAAAGGAGACTAACATGCTGTAAATTTAACTTCAGATTAAACAGG